GTTTTATAAAACAACCTAATCTAAATCTAATCGAACAATTTAGTAGAATACAGGACAAAGATGAAACGCTACAAAGGCTTATAAAACTGTCAAGTATTTAAGTATATAATAGTAAATTAGGTAAATCCATATTCCCGATTCTTATAATTTGGTACACCATAACAATATTCAATACGTTTCGCTTTTTCCATCACTCCTAATATATTACATCACTTCTGATATCGTTATCTGTGAAGGAAAACCGGTATCTTTTAATATGGACCCTTCGCCACCGATACCTACTAATTTATATTCTAACGCATAAATTAAACCAGAACTGGAATGAAATATTCCTTTTATTGTTTCTGACAATACAATGAATGCGTATATTTTATTTGTTTGGTTTAATTAATTTTCAGACACCTCTTTAATTGTTTTTATTAAAGCAACAAGGTTATTTCATTTTATTTAATGGTGAGTCACTACAGCCATGCGTTCATTTTATCAGCTATAATCCTTTGTATTCCATTCATACTTATATTATAAATGTGTAAATGAGTTTGTTTGTTTGCTTGTTACGCTTTCACGCCTAAACCACTAAACCGGTTGTTACAATTCTTTCACCAATGGAAAGCTATATTATCAGCAAAAACCGACACATATGCGGGCGGAGCGGCGGGCAGAATGTAGTATTTAACAACTAACAAAAAAATCGTATCTCAACCACTCTTTGGAGCAGCATTTTCACAAAACTCGTTTTGGATAAAAGATGGAAGCATCAGTCCAAATACAAACGAAACTTTTTCTACTTGAATTATGTACGATCACGACTCTCGAATCTCTTGGTTTTGTCAACTAAGAAACTTAACTCGTAAATATGGACCCACCCTATATAAGTGAAAATGTACTAGAACACCAGAAGGTAGGATGAGCTGCTACAATAAATCACGTTTTGGCAACCGATGAATCATTTAGCGAGCGAAAGTTTATCTATCTCTTTTAAACTTTAATTACCTATACTTCTTACGTACGAGTCGATACCTTTAAAATACAAGATGAATGAACGAGTAACTAACCAACATGTTTGTGATTTATACTTCTCTGCTGAGAATAGATAAATATGAAGAAACTTTTCTGGCGTTCATGTGAGAGTATTTTTAAAAGATGTAATACTTTTAAAAATACTCGCACCTGAACCCCAGAAAAGTTGAATCAATAGATAATTGTAATAAAATATATTATAAACTTTTAAAACCACTTTATCAGTATGCTATTAGCGTTTAACTCTAAAACTCGCTCTCGTATAATATCCAAATTACTACTAAAATACCCTACTACATTATTTTCGTACCGATTTATCGTTCATAACTCTCAATTTTTTTCATAATGTTTATTACATAATTACTCGAAGATGGCTGACCCGATTTAGAAAAACATTTTAAAAGCAATTTATGCTCACCACGGTACACGTTTGAGACGGTTAAAGAGAGTTCTCATGGTACTTCATTATAATGATGAAGTACCATAAACAATTAAGGTCCCTGCATCGGAAAAATAATTATTTTCTAAAAGGTGGTTTACATTTGTCTACCAAAATCAAAAGAGATGAAAAAAACAGATTATTATAATTTCTTTTCACATAGATAATTATTTTGTTTTGCCAAAGACACATGACGAAGGGATTTCCGCAGACAAAAAATAATAAAAAACACGTGACTGCTTATGATCTGTGGAAAACTGTTTAAGAAATATGGTAATTTTGTTTCTTAGTCGGTAGTCATAGGCGAGGTAGACCACGTTCGGCACAGGCCAAAAATGAATACTTAGGCAAATTATTGCCGCTTACAAACGCTACTTTTTACCTTAAAATGTAATTCAAAATACTATAGTGACATTGGAAATCAGATTTCAGAGAAGATATTGAACGTTTGTCACACCCTTATATAGCAAGAAAATCATAGGTACAATAGTTGCTCAAATAAAGGAATGACCTTTCGTCAAAGATATGATTGTTATTGAAGTCACGTTCAGAAACGAGTGAAGATTTAAGAGGCTGAGGCATATTTACGACTATACGAACAGGGACTAGCAATATTTGTGATATAAAAATATCAAACAACTCTAGGCTATGATCGATTAAACAGAGGAAATTAACAAGATTGTACGCTGGTTTATAGGTATAGCAGATGAAATTGTGAAAGTATAGAAGTTATCCTTACAATAGGTTACATTTGAAGCTGGTCCGCATGTCTTAATAACAGCAGTTCCCCGATCCTTCCTATTTCAGGCGCAGAGTGGCACACCGTCTTGGTATAGTCGGTTCGATTTGGACACACCACCCTGCCACAAACCTCGGTGAGGCGGTGTGGCGGTTAAAAAGAAAGGACTACTAATAGTACACAATCTATGTATCTTTTATTCTTATGAATTCAACTAAATTGTGTGCTAAAATTCAGCATACCTGACTTGTTAAAATAAAATCGTTTAAGCAATATCTGTTCGAACTGTAAGAATATTTGGATAATTATTATATTACTGTCAAATAGCAAAAGTATTTATTATTTTCTAATACCTGAGATACTTATGATATTCTTGACAACCATTGTCAATGATTTAAATGCTGATACAGAAAACAACAACTTTGATTACAGTCAGTAGAACGGATGAGAAAACATACAGCATCCAAAAGATGCTTCGTAAATAATCAATGGATAAACACATGAAAACTCAATGTACTTTCGCCAAATGATCAAACGTTTGATTACTAGAATTCTACATAAACGTTAGAATCATTGTTACTAATGTGTTAAGACGTATGAAATAAAAATAAGACTATAACATCACTGACTAAAAAAAAATGTAGCAAAAACTAGAAATAGTCGTGTACAAAATCAAATCATAAAGAATTTCTAACTAGAGGCCCATGTCCAGCAGTGGACTATTAAAGGCTGTTAATATAATGGAATGTAAGTTTCGATAAAAATATATAATGGAATGATCAACATCTCTAGCTGTTTAATATAAATGTATTTTATATAATAGCATAGTGATGTATTCTACTCATATTATGCTGTTATAATAATATATAACATATTAACATACTATCTTAATAATATACTTTCTTTTATACAGCTAATCACACTGGAATTAACGTAAGGTACTATATACTATACTTCACGTTCCGACCAGGTTGCATTAGCCGTGATGCATATTTAAAACTTTAAAGTAAGTTATATCCCTGCTTTCTTGTATATAAGTGACAACCAAAAGTATATTTGTGATTTTAAATTAGTATGTAATAAAACTTTGAACCAGGCTCCGAATAAGATGTATGTTATGTATAAAATAAAAAGAGACTATAAAATGATAAAAACTAAGTATTTTTAATGGCTAATTAGGCTTTAATCATATATTTGTTCATTTAATGGGCTATGTTCAAACTAACACAGCTCATACAATGGTATCTACACCTACCCAAATTGTGACAAAGTCTCTGGGATTCCTTGTTCATGAAAAAAACAATAAATTCTAGTGATATTTCCCTTATGTCTCAGTGTATTCTTATGAGTTATGACGTCATCTTAATAAATATGTCTCTAATAGTATATTGAAAACAAAAATAATTAGAAATTTAACATGTATAGGAAACGGCAATGGTCCAAATAAATAATAAACTCTTAATTACCCCTTTGTGACTAGTTATTTATTACACTACTTAGAAAATTTGTATGATGTAGTATATTAATATATTTTCTTTTGTAAGTATAATAATTCTTAACATATAATAAGTATAATTTAATGAGTTCGTATTTTTAAGGCATGTTTCTTTGTTTACAGTGAAATCATAAAGAATTACCTCTAATCAAAATAAATTAGGTCATACTCTTAACACAACTTAAACAGAATTCCAAATAAAAGAACGATTGAACTACGTTTACGATAGAAACTAATAGCTATCTGAGATACAGATAATAAACTTAACTCAATAATTAGGTTTAAAATTGGTTTAGTTAGAAATAATTATATAGGTAACCAGACTACTGCTAAACATTTAGCAGTAGTCTGGTTACCATAGAGGAGGTTCTGCCTAGTTTGGGATCAGACAGCCGTGTGTGAGATGTGTAAAGTTATTATTATTATAGTTTTTCTTACGTTAACATCGAAATCAAAAGTTGTATGAAAATTGAGTTCTAATAAAATACACTGCAATTTTCGATGTGTTGAAGTAGGTTTTCTGCTCTATTTAAGGCTTAAAACTGATTAAGGAGGAGGAAGCCTTAAATTCAATGAAGTATTACTTACTTACTTAGATTCACTTCACTGAAGTAACAGCATCTTATAGCAACAAACATAGTGCTACAAGTTTAATCAATAAAAGAATCTTATTAATATAAAAGCGATCTAGTAATTTCATTTGCAAACTGTCATATACGGGTAAAGCCAAAATATTACCGTACTCAAGGCGCAATGCTCTATACATTGGCTAACGACCTACTTGAAGACAGATTGCCGTACTAGGCGACCCACCAAGCCGGCTGCTTGCTTTCTTTCCAACTTTTAACTTACTGCACTTACATAAGTTACGTGAGCCGCAAGAATACCGCAACGATTATAAAACAGGTACACAGCGGACATATAAACTGGTAGTTTAATTTCTTTTAAATGGGAATGAAAAGTTTACTAACCTATTGAAATAATTACCCCTCAAAGAAACCATCATGAAGCAAACTTAATGCACTTTATGTCTAACTTGTTTAGATATGCAAACTATGCAGTAATTATACGATATTTGACAGTTATCCCTAACTGCAGATATAGCCTTAGGTATTATGAAAATTGGTTAAGTAAACAAGGAAATCGGAACTGTCCTGCTTACGATTTATACAAACGTAATCTAGAAGTTAGCCTGACCGTGTGTTTTTGTTTAGAACTCTCCTGGGTCAACAATCATAATCATACACCGACATAAATAATTAGTTAACATTACATTGTAACTGAAATGTAACTTTTAACTAAAGTCCTTAACAAAATATCAGCTCAGTAATGTAAAAGTACTTACTCTTCGAAGCCCAAAGTTGACCATCGTAGAGGCCTTTCAAATAGGCTTTCAGGTCCTGCTCGCACTGCTGTGGCAAAGACAGAGTCCCATTGTTGATGAACTCCATCCACTTATGATGGTCTAGCAGCGACTTCATCCACGCCATACGAGAACTCCCACCTATCACATTAGTAGAGTTTACATTTGCACCCACAGCACTCACTAACACTAAGATTGTCACGACTAACGTCGTTTTACTGTTGAGCCTGTTCACGTACATTTTATTTGTTTGTTAACAAACAAGCATTCTTATACACCACTCTTATTTTGTTTAACACACGTTCACCATTTTGCAGTTCCTGAAACAAAAACAATTAAAATTAAAACAACGCAAAAGTGAATAAATTTGCATTCGATATTAGGGTTCCGTATGTCCGAATTAAAAAACGAAACCCTTAGAAGGTCTATCATGCGTCAGCCTAACCGTCCGTCTGAGCTAATTTGATCTAAATATACTGGACCGATTAGGTTAAATTAATTAAGTTTGTTCTTGTCATAATACGGAACCCTGAGCGAGCTGAATTCACGCTTCTCTGTTCTTTGTTGTAATCCATCCTACTTTATTAAAATAAAGTGAACAAAATTTTGCGAGTTTGAAATACTGGGTGATATGAAATATGACAAGTCCCTGCAACAAAATAATGTACGCTGCAGTTCAGAAAAGTTTATACCTGAATATACTATACTCGTCTTTCATTTTAGACTGATTGTCCTTTGTATAATATTTAAAAATTATGTTGTAAAGGCCTCTTGGCTTTCTATCTTTTTTTTGCAGCAAGCAAAAATGACTTTATGCAAGATAATAACTAAATTACAATTTCATTATAATGGATACACGCACACGTTTTTAATGTATAGAATAGAAATTGTTATCGTTTCTTGCATAGAGACATTTCATCGAACTGTGTACTTAATTGATAACATTGACGAGTAATAGAATCGTATTAATACATCAGTACTTAGTGTTCTGATACCAGTATTTATTTTACGAGAAAGTTTTACTCTGACAGATATTTCAGGAGCATTGGGACGGCCATAGAAAATAATAAGGTATATGTGTCTGTCTGTAGTACACAGACACTAAGCCCCAAATAAAAGAAAGCTTTTAAAATATGTTTGCACAGTTCTGTACAATAATGCTCTCTCTTAATGTTCGCAATAGATCTAACACCAAAACTGTTAGCTCCTTTTTCTGCTTCCTCTCAAAGAATAGTATCACAAAGAAATCTCGAGAATGTCGGCTTGAGGCAGACATTTGTCTCCCTTGTATACGAGTATTACGCTGGCGTTGTACTTAATCAATGTTATCACGAACAAAATATGTAATTCAACAATAAACAAGCCCCTTTAATGTCATAGAAAGGGACCGTTCCACGATTTTATTTTACCTGGCAATTAAAAAACGTTGACGTTCCGCGTAGAAACCTATTAATGCGCTTTGAACTCTCATGATTAATATGATTTTAAGACGAGATTTATTTTAACTGTGACAGGTATAATAAAAAAAAATAGTTTAAGAACCTAAATTGTTGATGTAATTCGATTTTGTAAAACAGTAATTATCACATTAGTAAATATTGAATTTGACATTTGTAAATTGCAAAAAAAATGTAAATTGCAAAATTGTAATTTGCAAAAAATTCAAAACATGTATGTTTAAAATTTTTTTGCATTTTTTATCTAAGTTTTTAATTCACATCTAAACCCTTTTCTGAATTTGTTGCTTTACGGTTACGAGATTGTAATATAATATATACATGAAACTCTCATAATTTGACGATGACGAATGACGATTTCTTTCTTTGTAATGACATTAATGTACTTACGCTTCTTGCTATATAAGGTATACACGGGGTTCGCTTGACATTTTGAGCTCCCTACGTTTTCCCTAATTACACGTAATATATTGCGGCTCATATTCCGTTAATAGTAAGGGATTAGTAGCAATTAGTGAACACGATCGTCATGAACAAAATGAATTCTGAAAGTAACCGTCATATTAAAGGAACGGAGAAAATATAAAACGGCGCACATTTTATCACAGGTTTCTATTGCAATATTTTCCTGACAGTGTAGTTTTTCGAAATCCCGTAATAAAGTCCGAGGGTTAACAAACAGTAGAGTACAATGGATTTATGACAATCGCTGTGTGTTGATTAAGAACACAAAAGCAAGCCCAGCGAAAGGTAATTAGACGCTGTGAAGATGCTTTTTTTGCATAAATTTGGTTTGTGTTGGTGAATACACAATCGTGTCAACAAACATTAATTGCATGTTCAATAGTGTGTGTACTTCATTACGTAGAACCAAGTTTTGGAAGGTTGCGTGAGTTGCTTTTCAAAACCTATTACCGGTTAGAACTGTCATTTCCGTTTATATTATGCTCGATGTGACATTTTGGCCGGAATAGTGCTGAATTTTAGTTAGCCATTATTTGGATTTATTTAAGTTTAAATGGCATATTGTTTAGTAAGAAACATGTTGGACGATTTTATTATAGGGACTTTACATTTACTCGAAGCAATGACCATCTTGTGATCAAGCAATTGATGTTTTTTATAATCCTTATACCTTCATACAATTCTCGTTTGATATTTTAATACTGTTAAATAACTACATGATCTATAAAGTCAAAGATAAATACTTACTAACTGTATATTACTACTACTACTCGAATCTGTATATGAACGGTTTGAACTGTATATGAATGTTTAAGCTGCTCAGGTGTGCGATTATCTACACACCTGAGCAGCTTAAACAGATATCACTGTTACGGGACACGAAATGGGTAACGTAGATTTAACGTGGTATAACAGTAGTAACGTTAAAAGAAAGAAAAATGAGAGTAAAAAAGGAGGAAGTCACCTCAGTTTTCTCAACAGAAACAAACACCGGCAGTGGTTCTCATCTCTACCAGTTATACCCAACTCAGGTAGAAGTATAAATTTGTACTTACGTTACTTCTATAACTTGCTATAGTTAATTACTCGTAAAAAATCTAACATATCATTAAATAGTAACAGTTCACTGATTTGCTTTACGTCTTGAATCTAGTTCGCGTTTTATTTTATGTAATTCCATTGTGTAACACATTAGTAGTTAAGCAGGCCCGCAAGTATCGAATGATCAATAACATACATTTTATACATGCGGTAACAGTATGCATACATGTTATAATTTTGATTATAAGATTATACGATCCAAAAAAGCCTATAATAGTACATATTCAAAATGGCAGATTTTTTTCTACTGATTGGTGTATTTCTTTCGGTGTTGCGCCATTTTCAAAGATAAAAACTCTAAAGTAAGAACTGGTATTTAATCTAGTTTGCTTTACGGAATAAATAGGTATTAAGTTCTTAGTTTTCCCAAAAAGTGAATGTTAATAGTTTTGATTTCGTGAATTTTTATAAGTTTGCCTTAGTGTTTTCTGTCAAAAAGATACATCTTACCCCTGGAGAAGAACTACATACATATACGTGTATGTTTAAAGATAATAAATTTATTTATAAGATGAGAATTCTTCATACGTATTTACAATTACTACTATATATTTAAAGGTAAAACGCTCTTTTTTTATAGTTTGTTAGAAACTTCTAACCATTTATCATGTAACTTTAGCTGTTCAAAAGACCTATTCATTTTGTTTTTAAATAAATCAATTAAGCATCTTTTATTGCTAACCTTGTAATAAATTCTAAGAATATCTCACTTTAGTTAAAGTTTCGACATTCATAAATCCATGGATATTATTGCGTATAGAGAATTGCAAAAAATACTTTGAATATCGCTCTCGACGATTACATCCAACGTAGATGTACGTTTTTTTTTTTTTTTTTGTTGACGCGGTGGGAAATCTGTTCTGATCTCCGGCTCTTCGGAGACGCAGAAGCCAGGAGTATGTGGTGTTTCCACAGCCGGTCTCAGGCGCCTTGCTCTGGGGAGGACTCGGACCATGTTTTTAGCCCTAGGATCGACGCCGCGCCTAGCCAGGTCCTATCCCGGGGAAAGAAGGCTTCCCCTCGCCTATCGGCTCAATCAATTTGTGTTGCGGCATGATCGCCTACCGCAGCAATTAATCTGCCACCAGAGGTCTCCACTCTGGCGCTGGAGCGGACAGGTCTCGTCCGATTTGGTCGACCAGGACCTTGCGCCCATGCGGGGCAGTCTTCCAGCGTATGCTGGGCGAAGTCCCAGTCGGCTGCACAGTGCTGGCATTGTGCCGTCTCGTCGCGTGCAATCCGATTCAGGTACTCACCGAAGCAACCATGCCCAGTGAGTACCTGCGTCAGTCGGTAGGTGACTACCTACCCAAGCTTCGAGCCTAGGCAGAACGGCACCGACAAAGCGTTGGCGCGCCACTGTACCAGTGCCTGTGGTGAGCGTTCCACCGCATTTCAAGCTCGTCCTGGTCTTCCCCACCCTCACCTCGACGGATCGCGCAAGTCTGGTCATAGACCCTCTTGTCCATATCCACCAGGATATCAAAAGGCGGGTAACGTTCTGGAGCCCGCCACCCCGCTTTCTCGGGGGATTATCAGCTCGAAGTACTCCTCGAAGCTCCAGCAGCTGTCTAGGGTGAGGCCGAGGTATTTGATGTGCCGCCCGACCTCGACCTCTGGTCCCCCCACTTAAATAAACGTGCTGGTGGAAACTGCACCTCTGCATTTCCTGTGTAACCACAGGGCTTCCGTTTTATGAGGTGCAACCCTTGGACCCATACCGCTGATCCTTTGGACGACACAAGCCACCCCTAACTGGGCGAGGTCCAGGACTTCCTGGAAGCCATGACCCCAAACGTGGATTTACCTAAGAGTAATATTTTAGAGTACAAATGGGTAGAATAATCATACAAAATATTGATTAAAAAACTAAAAGTTTGTTCTTATGTATGTATGTGTGTATAATACATATATACCTATGCGATACATACTATACTATATATATCTAATTATTATCTCTTTTATATACATTAGCAATTAGCCTTAAAGCTCATTGCACCGTCAACTATTATTACTGTTTCTCCGAAACATTTTGATCCGACCTAAGGTTGCCTGGAAGAAATTGCTCTACCAATTAGGCCGCAATTTTTACATTATATATCGGACATTTTATGTACCATACTACTTTGTAAAGCGGTGTACAAACAAAGAGTTTTTTATTTATCTATCCACTCAATCCACTCCATTAAAAAGGTTATAGTCATCACGTTACGATAAC